TGCACTCGCTGCAAGCCAGACGCCTTCGGGTTTGTTTAGGGTGTCGGGATAGCTGTTCTTCCTGGGGAACAAGCGGTTTGTGCTGAGCGGCCACAGCAACGTAAGAACATGCAACAACCACCAGTGCACTTCGTTGGTGTTGCGTCTTGGAATCGAAATGATATCTGTGCCGCTCGGCGGATCAAACTTTGGAAGAGTGAGTGCGATTTCCTGATTTCTGATCTATGCATATTCAGCAACACGCACGTGCTGGATGCGTAGCAATCTGCGTGTTCAATTTTCCCGGGCATGGAGTTTAGAGATTAGTGTTAGTTCGGGAAGCATATCAGCAGAACCTTACGGCGGTAGGATTTAGGCACAATGCCTCACAGCACGTAGGATCGATCGGGAACTACAACACGATGCAACGCATTCTGAGCAAGTTTGCAAGTAGCAAGCCTCGCTTCAAACTCTACGACAACCCTCTGAAAATCCCAGGACTTGTGCTCTCGCCTGTTCAGCGAAGTCTGACATAGGAAGGGCTTGCCGAGTGCTTCATGTTGAAACTGACACCAGGCGTCCAGTTGGTGGATGTAGGCGGCGGTTTCGTCTTTGTCCGCCTGTTGCAGTCAAGACTCGGTCAACAACATCACATTCGAGCGACAGACATCCACTCTGACAACACAAAGCTGGAGCAGACATCACGACTGCTGGACACCTCGACGAGCAAGCTGTCAAGAACTCCTGGACTCAAGGACCTCTCTTCGAGCCTCCATCGTCCCAAGCTCACGAGGCAGGCGAAACCGGCGATCCATGTACCAATGTGCCAGCCACAGCCCCGCCGGACCCAGACCGCCTCAGTGCGATGATGCTATGCTGCGGGGCTCGGGATGCGCTTCTGAACCATGTCCCATTCGGTCAAGAGGCGCACGATGTCCATGGGAGTCCAGCCTTTGACCCCGTAGGCATGTTCCACAAGCTTGCAACATCAAATAAAAGACAATCAATCGCGCCTCCCGACCACATGTCATGGGCCGTTTTGATGAGGGTCCTAGCCAGGGACTTCGTGATGCCTCGATCGCCTCTACAACTCTCTACGTACTGTACATGAGTAAGTTGGGTCCGCAGGATCACAATTTGGGACTTTGCTTTTAAGTACAGGAGGGCATGTTTCCCCGGAACCCGGCCTTTGCCACCAAGGCAATGACTGAAGTCTCTCAGGGTTCAGCAGCCCTTGCTCGCCTCCTGAGGCTTCGTGTTGCTCGGCTTCACAAAAAATGCGGGAGAGTCCAAGAAGTCCAAGGTTCTCTTCTCACAGATGCCGACAGGACTTGCCAGAATCAGCGCCTCCACGTTCTCGGGATGCTTCATGGCCTTAGCACGGCGCTCGCGATGCACTGTCCAGACGCTGACGGGCACAGACCTTCACAACAAAATCTAAACTAACGTTGGTTGGTGTTGGTATCAGGGAGTTCAATGGAGAGAGAAATGCAGCCAGGAGGCATAGCAGGCAGCGAAGTAGCCTCCAAAGCTGTGGCCCAGAAGTACCACGCGCTCCAAGCCAACGGACCGCCGCCAGCGCTCGATGCCCTCCACGAAGAACTGCTCGCACACACGCGTGCCCTGAGGGGTCCGAAAGTGGATATGTTTTCGAGGCCAACACAAGCACGACCCTGAACCGAGATGATGCCTGCCTGACCCGTCGGAAAGTCGGGCTTCGAGGAGAGGCCCCATCCCGGCCAGTCAATGGAGTAGACATGTCTGCCAGTGGAGGCCAGGGCATCTAAGCTGTGAGCCCATGAACCTGAGCCCATAAAGTAGCCGTGGATTAGAACCACAGGCGCCAGCCCGCTCGTCCTCGCCCCTTGCGAGACACAAAGTGTATGCACGGTATGCTCATCGGAGATTGGAACCTCCGTGACCTTCACCTTCGAGGACACCGCCCTTCTCAGAAGCGCAGCCTCTGCCTCTCGAAGGTCCTTCTCGCTCGACCGCGTCCACCAGCCGCGAAGGCACTCCCAGACACCTGTGAAACCAATGGAGGTCGTCAGCGACTTCGTCGCAGCCTCCATGACAGCCCGGGACCCTGAATCGAGATCAAGCTCGTGCCCCACGGCTACGGTTGCAGCAGGATAGCGTCCTTTCTGATGTTTTCACCTTGCCATCTGGCTATCTGCCAACACATGCGTAAACGTCTCTCCGAGCCTCCTTCTGATCGGTTGCACGGGCACTCATCATCTCTTGGCCTGCCAAGGAGATGGATCCTGGATGAGTGCGGTCAGCGGCGCCATTCGGGAGTGCTTCTCATTTTTTCATGCCACTGGAGATTTAAAGCCAGTTTGACTGGATCCGAAGCCTGTGTCGAAGGAGCACCGTGAGCACACTGCGTCCAAGGTAGCACGACATGTCCACAAGATGCGGCTGCGAGATCCCGATATCAGATGCTAGCAGCGTCGACTCACGGCGTTCAAACTGATTCTGCGGTCAGTCCCTCAGGGCGCTAGGCCCTGATAGGTCCAGCATTCGGCTGCTGACACACTCAGAAGAGGACTGCCACAGCCGGAAGCACAAACAGTGCCTCAACAACCGCCGGCAGTCCCGGACATCAGCCCCGGAAGTCACACCTGCTATTCTGTGGCCAAGCGAAAGAAAATCGTCCATCCTTTCAAGTGTAAACCTAACAGGTCAAGCGTGGCGAAGTATGTCGAAACAACAGAGAAACGAGCGGATGGACGGGAAGAGGGCTGCGCAAGATGCATTAAGCAGCCTGCGGAACCCCCTACGCAAGGCTCACATGGAATGATGCGACTGCGAGAGCTGCAGGCATTCGTGCAGTCGACATGAGAACTCAGAGCTCTCCCCCTTTTGAGGGCTCGTGGCGGGCTTCCCTGGGAAGCTCTCTCCAAAACGCCGCCAGACGAGACAAGAGGGAAGAAAACTTCGATTTTCAAGCGTCCGAGGCACATGTGCTGAAAGTGCTGAAGAGTTTGAAGCGAATATATGAAAGTGGGAAAGAAATGGAAAGAAGGAAGCTACTACCTGCACCGAGGATCTGCTTGTCTGGGTGGCTGCTTGGGGCATGCAAGCCCATGGCATCCCATGGCAGGTGCTCCGCTAAGTACTGATTTCACATGCTTCTTGTGCCACTTCTTGATTGTAAAGCCATTCCGGTCGTCCAGCCCCAGACTCACACAGATACCTGCTGAAGTGTGCCGAAGCTGTGCCAGAGCAGAACTGTCCCTCGGACTCCGGAAAGGTATTATGCAGAATCAGCGAGCACTTGCAGCTCGAGCATGCCAATTTTCTGCGACACCCGGCCTCTGCAGACAGGGCCGTGTGCCAAAGCAAGAAACCAAGGTCAGCAAGGAAGCGAGAGCTGCCAGACTTGATGTGCAAACCTCCTCTCTAGAAGCCTTTCTGTTCATCCGAGGCGCTGTCAAATCAGTGCCGCCTCGGACAGAGGCTTCCAATTGCTGTTTGCCAGTAAGATGGTGTGGGGGCCCGAACAATTAGAATAGGGTTTTGAGTTTTGGGGCCCATGATACTACAATTCTACTATTTTAGCCCATGATACTACAATTCTACTAAAAAAGTATGGTGATAGGACCTGGCCATGGAGAAGAGTACCGGGCTCCCTGCGATCTGCGGTTTCACTTCGAGAGGATGGCCAGGGCCTGACAGCCGCCGTGGTCGGACTGCTACAGTAGGAGTTAGGAACTGTCTAGGGTACTCCATGTGACAGAATGGAAATATTTATGGAAAGAAACAGCTCGACTTCAAGCCTGTGCTTACCCTATTTCGATAGTGAGCCGTTGTTGTTGGTGTCAGCTCAGGTTAAGAACAAACCGCCTTCTCGCCCATGAGCTTGCCATACCTTCGCATGTCCGACAGCTGAATCGTGTATGGTGTGGCGGTTGCGCCGAAACAATCCTAATGAGCGTGGCGAGACTGTTCCAGAGCTGCTAAAAGCCGTTCCGGCATGTGTGCCTCCTGCTTCTGAGGCCGCAACTTGTCAGCCTCTGCCTTGTCCTCCGCAGTGATATCGTCATAGCTTGCGTTTGGCGTGTCATCCTCCGAGCACACCATAAGCATTCAACTGGAACCCGAACATTTGCATGCAAACGTCGAGATGGGCAAGCTCAGCTCCGCAATTTGTTGCGAACTCTTTGGGACTCCGCGGGTCGCCTCCTGTACTTTGAGGAGGGACTGAAAATTGCTCGGCAAGGTAGTCTGTGCAAGGCACGGCAGCGAGGGGCAAGTGTGTTCTTGCCGGCCTCTGCTGCCTGCGCTCGGGCTAGTGGACATCTCAGCCAGAGCAGTCGAGACGTCCTTACCGCGTCGGGATCTGGCACCACTTTTCTGCATCACGCCGGTGTATGAAGAAGGCGACGCCCGTCTGATGCACCTCTGTAAAGCAGTAAAACACCACCAGAGGTTGTGACTCTCAACTTCCTACACTTTTCTAGACTGAGCCGCCGCAGTTGCGATGGTCTGGGCCAGCGCCATGAGTGGTCCTTTGCTGGTCGGAACATCAGGACATGACTTGCCACCCGACGGTTTCCACATCCATGCCTTACAGCTCCGAGGGGCTGGGTCCAAGTACTGCTGAGTACTGAATCCTCGGGCCCTCGTCCCGCATGAAACGAGAGATCACCGGCACCTTGCGGCCGAAGGCTTGCAGTCGCGATATTCGTAACAAGGCGTGTGCTGACAATGAGTATGAGTACAGTGCGGCAGTGGAGCTGCTAGGGGTGAACAACCCAAGCCCATCCTCATGTCAACCAGCGCTGTGCCTTCGTCAGCAGTGCACACGAGGCGTGACCAGTGCTTCTGCAGTACAGTAGTAAGTAATAGACAGATCCGCGGTACAATTGACCGAGTCATCGATTCGCTTCATCGCAGCCCGACAGTCTCGCAGCCTCGGCAAGATAGATTCAACAGTGATGTTCGTTCCAGACTCAAAACCTCATGCAGCTTGAGCAGCATTTTGCCCGTGGTGTCAGCAGTGCCGAAACCATGTAGTTCAAACTCCATTCGCCCATCCGGCCACACGACCACCTTTGCGGAGAGTACAGTTCCGCCGTACAGGCATCCTATCATGTTGCACATGTGAGTTTGCAAAGGAGATGACCAGGGCGATCCGCAGCTGTGAGCCGTCTACACGCGTCTACATCCTTGCCTGGCAGCTGCCCAAGGCATTGGAGTACCTGCAGGCCGAAGGTAGCGACGACTTACGGTCTGCTTGTTCAAGTCCGGCAGGAGCACGTTGAGTTCAGGAGCACAGCGGAGTCGCTCGCCCCGCTACCCCTGCGGGCTTTCTCTTCAAAGGTACAGACTGGTAGACCATTCATCCGGGAGTTGGTGCAAAGACTTTCCAAGTGCACCTCCAGATTGGGCTTGCCCATGCAAGGCTTCTTCTGTGGCCAGATCGCTTCGACACCGTGCCGGCCGTCTCCAGGAGCGCTGCGAAGGCAAGGGCAAGGACCGCAAGGAGCCCTCAGCTTGGGAGCAAACGATCCGCAGAAAAGGGCTGGGTTGCGTTGCAAGCCGAGTAGCACAGAAGCAGCAAGGGCCCCAGTCTTCGCGCGGAAGGGTGCCGGTAGGCTGACGGCAGTGGCACTTGCCATCGTGGGGCAAACATAGCTAAAACATGCGCACATGTGGTGACCAGCTCTGGCTCTATGCGGGAAGGTATCAGGCATCAGTTGGAGCTTTGGGGAGCAAACAATCCCAGATGTGCACATGATGGAACTGGTGTGCAACAGGCTTGTCCAAAAAGTTGGAGATATGCTTGGGCCACCAGCAACGGCCGTCACAGCCCGAACAGCTACACCTGGCACTAAGCTTATGTGGATGAGATGAGTTCAAACTTTCCGAGGCCAGCATAAGCGATCCTTGCAGTACGCGGCCAGGCATCGACTGATGCCGACGCAGGAGCCTGAACGAGAGACAAAGACTAAGAAGGGAGACCTCAGCAGCCTGTCACTTGTGCCCACATGAAAGCACGATTGCAGCACGAGCAACAGTTGAACTCGCCAACGATCCACTTCTCCTCCTCCTTGGGCGTGCCCTCGGGGGAAGCCAAGATGAAGTCCGTGGTCCACCAGAGGGGCACCGGCTCATTCGGGAGGTCCAGGGCTGGCATCACCAGCGGCAGATCCTCTTGGGCACCGAGGCCGACGAACGCCGAAGCGGCAAAAGGAGCCGTGAGAAACAGCTTCCAAAACTGCCCAAACATCAAACCAACAAAAGAACTCCGTTTTATGATTGACTTCCTCGCTTCTTTGATCGAGCACCTGCCCTGCAGAGCCTGCACATGGCTACGTGCCCCTCCTTCTCCAGGAAGTTGGTGGTCAGGGTCTTGAACTGTGCCTTTTGCTGGACACATGCTAGGGTCCGCTTGGATTCTGAGGGTGACAGAGCGATAACTCCCGTCGAGCCCACAGTGCGAGATCCCGCTTGCGACTCCCTTCTCAGACCCTCAGCATCTCAAAGAGAACAGAACGAAAATCCGCCACAGTCCCTATGTCTCCCTCCAGGCCTCCTCGGGTCCGTAGTAGGTGTAGATCTGAGCTCAGGAGGCTTCGGCACTTTACGCTCAGCTGCGGGCTCTCCGCTTGGGCCCGGGCCGAGCCGGTGCCGCCCACAGCGGAGATGCCGCCCTCCTGTGGAGTGAGGAAGCAAGGAAGCAAGCATCTCCGCATCTCCGCATCTCCGCATCTGCACTTCATATGGAGTTGGCAAAGGGAGGCGCGCGCCTTCGGCTTCTTGTGGATGATTCCAACCAGAGCGTCGACAATCAGGTTGTAACCTCATTCAGATGCTTTCGGAGGCCGCCTGCAGCTTGCCAGCCCTCGGGGCTTTTTGCGGCTAAGTGTCGGAGCTCCCCCTCGACAATGCGTGGGCAGAATCGCTGGTCGACCTGGCGTGCAGGCACGAAACATGCAAATTAGATGTCAGAGCACTGGTGGATGATGGACCGCGCTGAGCATGCGGCAAGCTGGCCACCAGCGGCCTTGCCACCCTGCGTGCTGGGTGAAACGGCAGTTCGCATCCGAGCCAAGGAGAATGCTTCCCGAGCGCCACTCGACCATCAGCACGAAATATTGAATTGAAGCCTCCAGATACTTTCCCACGCCCTTGGACGTCCACTCTCCGGATTTGTCCTAGGTCATCGCAGTCTTCTGATTCTCAACATGCAAAGAAGCTTGAGGAGTCCACGCTACGGCCGCTGACGCAGAATTCGATGAACTCTGCCACGGTGTGCTCTTCTTCATGGTTGTCGTTGGCCTCGAAGACCGCACCGCTCGCCAGCAGGTTCCCCAAGCCCACGGGTTCACGTGCCTCCATGAGGGACAGGACTTCGGAATCCTCGCAGAGGCGCTCGCCATACCTTCGCTGCGGCAAAGCAATGCGGGCATCTGGCTCTGAATATGCCCTGCTCGAGGCTATCGTAGACAGCACTGATGTTTGCATGCTACCAAGCATACTTACAATCATACAGTCATCCGAACCAAGTCCACCACCTCCTGAATCCATGCTATGATATGCTGATCTGTGCGAGATAGGCTCATCCGTTTGGGCCAAGGGGCTCCTTGCAGTAGTTGCCTGAGTGTATGGTGCGGACAGCTAAAAGTCAGCCCTGAAGCCGATGAGGGCGTCTGATCTCCCCTTCTGCACGAAATCCATAGGGGTGTGTGCAGCTTGGCGGCCCTCCTTGAGCTTGATGATCCAGATGCCTGTTGCAAGCTGCAGGCACTGTGAGCCTAAAGTAGAACCCGCTTCGAAAGGCGAATTCTGCTTGGGGAGAGGATGGTGTGAAACAGTTCGATGGATGCACGGACAGGAGGCCCGCAGCTCCTGTACTGTACTTCTCACCTTGCAGCCAGATCCAGTAATCAACCAAGCGCCTCAATGCGTTCATGAGGGTCGATCGACCCCCTTTCTCCCAGATATGAGATGTTACAGTTCGCCCAACATATCTCTATCCACGATGTGGCAGCCCGAAACCGCGGTAGGCCTTCCCCGCTGGAGCCACGGTTTTGCTTAATGACCTCGCTTGCGAGGAGAGTGAGGAAGGGAAACCACAAACTCATAAGCTCGTCTTTGCTGAGCCACTCGAGGCTGGAAGGCCATTGTCTTCTTGAAGCCAGCACCGAATTCCTCCGGAGAGTAATACCTCAATGTCAGCGCCAAGAGCTTTTCCAGCTCCTCATATCTACACAAGTATGTCTGGACTGTGACCAGCATGTCGGAAGGCAACTTGTTGACGACTGCATGCGATCAGAAATGACTTGTTTTCACACAAGCAACGTACCACATGCTGCAGCCCCAGCAAGTAGCTGAAGGTGCAAAAGCTGATGCGTAAACACAAAGTGACATTCGCTGAGCATCAGACGCCAATGTGTCTGGCAGGCCGATGTTGAGGGTTGCCACCTGGCCACGATCACTTCTAAGACGACTGCATGGCGACGAAACCGAAACCGGCCTTGCACAAAGCATCCTTGGCTCCCATCCTTACTTCACCAATAAGCCAGGTAAATAAAAGGTTAAACTTTCAGATTACTACTAAATTATAAGAACCCAAAAAGTTTAAAGGTTGGGTATTGCGGAACTAAGCATCTTCTCCATCACGTCTGGGGATGGCCACACCTCGACTGCTGCCAATGCTGGCAGTGCTGCCGCAGCAAGTCTCTGCTGAAAATGCCTTCGATGTTCTACCATACTCGATCAAGAAGCAGCAGAGTCGCCAGAACTGTCAGTTTAGTGCACCGTCTCTTTCCAAGTTCAAGCAAGACTCCTGGATGCCCATGCCACGCATGGCACGCATGCCATCCTCGACTTAATGGATTTCTGGCAGGTGCGCATGGGCAGGCATCATGGGCTCTGGTATCAATGTCAGTCGTGGCAACCTTCCACCGTTCGAGGAGACTTTAAACGTTTGCCGGGTTTCCAAGTTGTGCTCGCGCAACAGTACGGGGTTCTTTCGGGGTGCCCATGGTCTTCCCGTCACAGTCAAAGATCACAGCCCCGGAGTGGTTCTTGGGGTACAGGGTCTGGAACGCTAGGTGCTCTTTGGTCTTCTTGCATGGTTTTGTTTCGGCCAAGGGTCATCGAACTTCTGCTGATCACCGCCATCCGCCTGGTGGCAGGAGCAAGAATCTAGACCTTTGAACCCAAAACCAAAAAAACAATGCAAAAATCAAACGTGATCCTGAGGCCCAAAACCTCAACCGAAAAGAGTATCGTGAGAAGCTCTCAACCTAGATCAGACACCCCTCGCCCAAACCCAACGCCAACACCTCGCATCAGAGAGTCAAAAACGAGCCTTGATCTGGCCAGGGTTGCAACGGACCTTCGAGAGTCAAAGTAAAAGACAAAAAAGAAAGTCATCATCAACGCAAGCAGCAGGGTGGTAGTGTAGCACTACTAGTAGTTGTTCCACAACACTGATACTACGATTACTTCGAATGCTAGCAACACTGAGAGAAGATAGTAATATTGAGTTGCAGCGGCTGCTTGTTTGCTTGATTGGAAGTCTCTCTGTGGGCCGGGCGATGAGGAAGTTGAACTGCTTGCACAACTCGAAGAACTTGTCGTGATCCTCGTGTGTGTAGTGGATCAACCTCGGACCGCTAAGCAGTCAGCTGCGAACCATTCGTGTCTGAAAGTCTGCAGGTCAGCTGCAAGCTGGGCCGAGGGTCGAAGCTGATGCTTCATCGCACAGTCACAAGGTGAAGACTGTTTGATCATCCCTACCGTACCGTCGTTGTAATCCTGATCTAAGTCGTGTGCTGGCAGCTCATTCCAGAGGTGATCATGCCGTTGGCGAAAGGGATGGAGTCGTAGCCTGTGGAGTCGCATCATGACGAATGCCCATTGTCCAGTTTCAGCTCTGGCCCCATGGAGACTTCAAGCCTTGAGCTGTCAACACAAGACTTTACCTGAACGACCTGCCGAGGCACGATGGCCGTTGTTGCTCTTGTCAGAGCCACCGTAAGGCGCATCTCGGACGTAGATCCTGGATGGTATAGACCCAAGTTTAAGGCAATGGAAGATGAAGCCTGAGTCGTAGCCTTGCAATGGCTCCTGGGTACCACTATGCTATGCAAACTGTCCCGTCTCTGAGCAGTCCCAGGGACTGGCACAGGGCTCCCTTGAACTTCGGCTCTGCGGGCTGCGCCAGCAAGCCCTGGGGCGGAAGGCTCTGCTTGCGGAAGCTCCGCACAAAATTGTTCGGGGGCCGGCCTTGTAGTCCTTGGCCACCACCTTCACGGCCTCAAAATCAAAAAAACACGAAAGCTCGGCACAGCAGCGCAGTGCCATGCCGCTACCAGTATGCGGTGCTTGCCGAAGGGCGGAGCAGTCCACGGGACCGGGACACGGGGCGCCAGCGGCACCACCTAGGAGAATCAAAATGCCAGCAGAACAGTGCTGTGCGGATGGGGAAAGAAGGGGAGCCAGGGGCCAAGCCTTCCAGCGCCTTCAGGGCATCGGCCAGCTTCTTTTGCTCCTCCGGGCTGGCAGCAGCGATGGCGTCTTTCAGCTCCTGGAGTCGAGAGAATGAGAGCAAACTCCCGCTCATGCACCCATCCGCCGGACGTCCACATCAATCCGACAGCCAGCGATCTGATCTCCAGATCCCTTATTTTCTCCTCGACGGTAGCATTCTTGGCAGCTTCCGCAGCGGACGAAGCTCCGGCACCCATGCTGGTGGAATCGGGTAGGCCTCGGGAGCACGGGAACGGATGGCAAAACAGCAGTTCAACCCATGTCCGACAGACCGTTCAATGCTTGCCACCGCCCTTCTCCGGCTTCTCATGACTTGAGTGGCTTAAGCTGAGTTCGCTTCAACTCAAAGACGGTGCCAGAGACTCTTCGAGCCAGGGCACAAGACACGAAAGGCGAACGGCGCGCAGGACTCGCGAAGCTGGAGCCAGAGCCAGAGAGACAGGATGCAAACAGCAGGTCTTGGCGTCGCAAGGACTGGGCTCCTGGGGATTCCCCAAAAGGAAGCGATGGAACGGGGCGCTTGCAGCAAACTGTCCCTCAGACTTGACGACGGGGGCCCTCAGAAAAGAAGAAAGCTCTGCGTGCAAGCCGTGCCATGTGCCAACCTTGGACGTCGACCCGGTTGGTGAGCTCAGCTAGAAGCTGCACCGTCTCCTGCACAGACATCTCACAGAACGACGCGGCTGGCAGGCAGACTCCCAATGCACTGCGGCAGCATAGAGCCTGGCAGCGCTCGTCCGTGCCCCCTGCGGCGGCCAAGAGCTTCTCGACCAACGTGTCCTGCGCCAATCATTGAGTGGGACTACAGACTACATGGAACTCGCGCCCCTTTCGCTGCGGCAACACGTCCCCTCTTGGCAACCCTTTGCACCAGCCCTTTTCGCACGGCTCATGGCATGGCCAACTCCTTGGTGGCACGCTTCCTTTGGCGATGCCAATGATCATCGGAGCGTCAGATCCAAGGATACGCGGGGCGTGTGCATTGCGTTGCAGTGCATCTCATTGCATTGCAAGCCTTGTGCCAGCATTGCGTCGTCGCGTCGAGTCGCTGCCCCATGACTCTCAGAGCCGATGGAACTCTCCATCTTCAGCTGCAAGAACGTCGGGATCTTCGCCTCGCATGGAATTTTCGCGAAGGCGATAGCGGATATTGCTCGACTCATCTCTCGGAGGGCCTGGGGACGGCGGTGCCCTCCTTGAACACGCTGGAAGCAGGCTGGCTGTTGCACACCTCAAATCCGCAGCATGATGGTGTCTCACCAATATGGAACCCTCTCCATGCATTCTATGCGAGTCTCAGGCCCGAGAATCTGGCCCACTGACAGCTGAAGATCTTCAGGTGAATTTTCTGCGAAAGTCTCACGCCTCCTCTGGCGCTAGCTCGTCAGTTCTGCCTCAAGAGCGCGAGAAGACGCTCTCGTAGTCGTAGACCGTAACATCCCACAGACAAGAGCTCAAAATCCTGCCTGGTGTGGGGAAGCTGCTCAGGCGCTGCAAGTCCTGCCGCAGTCTCTGCACGGGATTCGAAGAGATCTTCGCCGGGCTGCCTTTTTTCGTTCCGCTTGGAGTGGGCGGGGGTCCCCCCCAGGCCACGGCTCCTCTGCTCTGGCCTGCGCCGCTTCGCCGCTGCGGAGCCAAGCGGCTGCCTGCTGCTGGGCAGGGCGAAGTTTCCAACGACACCGCTCGATCGCTGAGTCATAAACATAGCGAGCACTGCCACGACAAGCACGAACGACACGTGCATGTCGCATCTGCTCGACACTACGGCTCGCAACGGCTGTGACTGCATCACCTCCTGCCTCCGGACAAGACGGGGCCACAACCTGTGCCAATCGCTTTGGCGGTGCACTTTCAGAAGGAGCCCTAGCCCCTAAGCCCTAAGCCCTAAGCCCTAAACTGACTAAACCCTAAACTTGCCGGCCAATGCCCGCCAACGGATCACTTTGGCTGCGCCTCCGCCACAGCACGCAGCCGACGCAGCTGCGAGGCGCCACGGAAGGCGGAGGGATCTCAATGAGAACATGGAAGCTCTTGCGTGAGCTATTACGTGCAGAAACTACTCACACGGCAACTATGCCCCACGAAAGGGGCACGAAATGCCGCCCAGAAACCAACCAACACTGAGCCACATCGAAATCTCGGGTCATGGCCGAAGGCAAGAACATTCAAGCCTGATTCGCGAAGCTGGCGTCGCCTTGCGGCAGCACAACGTCACACTGTTTCGACGGAGTTGCCGCTCGAAGTCGCTCCTGCGAAAGCCTTGCCTCAGCCGCGCAGTCCCGGAGAGCCCACCTCCCGCGAGGCGGTCGCCGAGCTGTTCCTGGAGAAAACCGAGCTCTTAGGGCCCTGGTGTTGCAAGCCCCTACCAGGCTACCACCCTCCGCTCATAAAGTCATAAAGCATGGCCCGAGCTCCAGCTCCAGTGCTGCGCTCTGTTCAGGAAACCAGACCTGCCACAAGAAACCTTCACCTTGCTACTGCATTAGAGTCTGCCAGCAATTCAGCCGGCAATGCCGGAATGCGGTAGATTCCTCCAGGGACTGCGGCCGGGGAAGCCACGACCTCGGCGCATCTCGGCGCAACGTCGCAAGGTAGCCAGTAGCCGCTGTCACGCACTTGTGCGTTGAAGTGGAACTGCAGAGCACCGAATGTCTGCTAAGCCGCATGGGGGATTCGAAGGTGCTGCAGCAGGGCTGACAGCGTCTTTTCTGCCTCTCCCACTACGCAACATGCTGGCACCACTTGTCTGCCTCTGTCAGGTCCTCCGTCTGTGGCGGCCGCCCGTGTGAACCAGCAGATGCGCTGCGCGGTGCATGTGGCCCATCCGCCAGGACCTGAAAAGATGCTTCCCCTGCTCGCTTCCCCTCTGACAGCACGCCTCTGACCAGCATGGAACCAGTGCAACTTTCTCCATCGCAGAGCTTGAAACCAGGGAGGTCTTTGTGAAGCTACGGAGTGACAATGCATCCGAAGATTCAGAACTACTTCTGCTGCCAGTCCAAATCCATCAAGCTCAACGCTTGCCAGAACAAGTTGTGTCTCGACTCGAGTGGGGCTCAACAGATTGGGCTGGCACCGCAGCCTGGACAGTCTGGCTATTGGCCCGGGAGAGCCCAAGGCCCCTCATCTCACTTGCCACGAAACCAAGAGAGCCAACCGCCTTGCAGAAAGAGTTGACATCAGAGACACTCGGTCTTGGCTACATCGGTCCGGGACCGCCTTGTTTCGACTCCTGTTGGTCTGGGCTAAGCTTCAAAGCGGCAGCCGCCAGGGCCGTGCCGTCCTGTCGCACGCAGTGGTGTCAGCTGTTCGGAATGGGAAATCCGCCGACCTCTCTTGCTGGGTCGAGCGCCCGGGAAGCAGGCCACCCCGAAGCGGCCCACACCCCCCCTCCCCCCTCCCTACCTCCCACACTCCCCACACCCGGACCCACTGAAAGTGTTTGCTACATGGTTTAGAAGTTTAGAAATGACGCGAATACGCTCCGCGCCTGTGACCCCTGCCCATATCCCTTATCTCTTACGTGACCCGAAGCGGCCCCCCGAGCGCGTGCGTCCGAGCCTCAGGCGACCCGGCGCGACCGCCGGTGCCGCCGACCCCACCTCATCTTGAGTCTTTTTGCGTAATTTTGGGGTCGCAGTGGGTAGCCCCCAAAGGACGCGCATCATGAGCATCAGCGGCCCCAGTCCGGGATCCGGGGCGCGCATCATCAGCATCAGTGCGGCCCTGGGGACACGGGGGAGGGGGGAGAAGGTCCCCCCCGTCCTTGTCAAATGTTGTTCTAGATGGTTTGCGAATTGAAGCTCAAGTTTACTCAGCGGGGTGCACTCGAGCCCCGAGCGCTGCCCGCCCCTGGGCACAGCTTCTAGACTATAATACTTGGACATGTGACTCAGTGACGCAGGCGTCCTGATAGCCGCTGGAAAACCTGAGTTGCAGGCTCTGCAGGCCACGTACACTGTCGGGCGACCCAGAAAAAGAGCGAGAGACAATGGAGAAGAAAGAACCAATATCGACCACGGCACTGAGGCTGTGAGTCTCCCTCCTCCACGTCGATGTCCTCCTCCTTGAGTGCCTCGGCTTCCTCGATCTCTTCTGGATCGTCGAATTCCTCCACCACACTGAGAGCGGGGTGGGACTTTAGGAGCCTCGTCATGGTCATGGTCCTCCTCCCTCTTGGGTGACCCGCGCGGCTCGATTTCAGCCTGGCAAGGAGTCCAGTCCCCTGCTCTTCACCTGCCCCGTTTGCAACGATGCACCCTGGCCTCCTTCACTGCCCGCTCAGCTGCAGCCTTCTCCGCAGCTTCCGCCTGTGCCAAAGCCTCGGCCTTCACGTGCACTTTGAATAGAGGATCCGGGCCGGGTTTGGAATCTTCACTGACCCCATCCCGCACCTCTCGCTGCTTGCGCTCGCTCTCCTTCCGTAAACACAGGAGAGGAAGACTCGATTTATCATCCCGTGCCCCTCCTCCTTCCGCGCCCGCTCTTCCTTGCGCGCTCGCTCGGTCTCCTCACGTAGTTGTAGTTCACAGAGTTCCACACGTAGTACGTAGTGACACCGCTGCATGCGATGATCCGCGGCCTTCTCTTCGGTGTCCTTTTGCTTTGCTGCCGCTTTGGCCTCTACGGCTGGAAACATGTCGGCAAGTCCACTGCGTCTACTTCCATCCGCCTTCTCGACTGCCGCCTTCTTTGCTTTGTCGGCGGCCTGCTCGTTCGGCTGCTGGTTCGGCACTTGCGATCAAGACGAGAACGTCCAAACCTAGTTATCAAATTTCTTTTCGCAACCGGGGATGATTAGGCCCGAGGCCCCGAGACGAGACTAATCAGTGACAAGAGCCGAACCGCCGAGACTTCATCGTTACCAGGGACCGACTGTAGGACTTGTTGCGACACGAGGCAACGTGGTGTTCTGCGATCACGCCTGCTTTCGGTCCTTCTTGTTCTGCGGAGCTTTCTTTGGCTTCGCATCTGCTGCAGCCTGCCCACACTTGTTCAGATTGAAGAAATGGAGGCCCTTGTGCCGAGGTCTTCTGCCGGCTAGCGGATCATGCTCGGAGCCTCTGCTGCACTTGGTTCCGCGGCCTCTACCTGCACTAGTGGCTAGTGGTCACCGTTTCCTTGAATGACGACGCTCCAATGGGCAACACGCTAAACCATGCGTGTCCTCAGGCTGTCGACTTGCGGGGGTCCAACCTCGACGGCTGCCGGCTGGACGGGTTCCGGTTGCACCCGCTCCGGCTGGACGGGCTCCGGCTGGACGGGCTCCGGCTGGGCGGGCTCCGGCTGGGCGGGCTGAATGGCGTCCTCGATATCTGGGATGGGGTCAGAAGTCGCAGTACGTTTTAGTCACGTCAGAGCACACACACGTGCACTTGCCTGCTTCTTACCCTTCTTTCCTTTCGGCTCCTTTCCCGGCGGAGTGTGGCCGGAGGATAGTGCAGACGATGTCTCACTCGCACGTATGGAAACTTGCGGAGGTCCTTCTTGGCCATAGGTTTGGCTTCAGCCTTGGCCTATGCACACTGTCACGGAGAGCTTGCGCAGCAAAAACTGCACAAAGCTGCCGCAAAGCCCCTGTGGCCTCGGGGGCGGCTTGGCTCGCCGGCTTGGGCGGAGCTTCTTCGGTGGCCTCGTGGGGAGACTTCTGCACGAGGACCGGCCCAACTCTGACATCGGCTAGTCCTGCCTTTGCTGGCACAGTCTCTACCACGGATTCCTGCCAAGACAAGATCGGCGAGGCTCTCTCCATTCCCGCGGGAGCGCATCACACTCTCTTG